AATGCGGTTTCACTAATCGATAAGTTTTGGCATTTTTTTCGTTTCCTTCTGGGGATAGCAAGTGCTCAACAGGCAGTTTTTCCACCGGAGGAGTCCGTGAGGCTCGAGCCTTACCTGGTTTCCACCAACTGAGGCTCAGCCTCACTTGATTTTGGACTGAACACTCTGTTAAATTTTGTCAATATATTTGATCTGATTAAATTCATCGTTGAGTAACGAACAGTTTGAGCAGATAGATGGAGATAGATAGATAGAACTCTTTCAACAAATTGTTGTTTTTGTAGTGAAATATGCAACCCTGCTCGCTTGTTGTATTGTATTAAGAAACATTTTGGGAAATTTATCAAACCTTTTAACCAACCACCTCATATTTAATTTTAAATGCGTTTATTGGTAGACCAATCACCAAATGGCATTATAGGTCAACGATTTTCGCATGAGAATTATATATCAACAATGCAAAAGCACGGGTAGAATTTTTAGAAAAAGAAAACTGTAAAAGGAGCATGTAAAGCAGTTTAAATGTTATAGAGTATGTGTCTGTAAATAGCCGGAACTAAACAAAATGACAGCACGTGCGATGAGCGAAAACTCAGAGATTACAGTAAACAGGAAACAGAAAATCTTCAGGTATGCCAAATCTGTCCGTCTGCCGAATAAACTCACACACAGTATTGTACAGGTCTGTAATAGGTAGTTATCGAAGTGAAAAGTCACCAAGTAGAAGATGATTGGTATTAATGGAAGAATTTGAAAGTATTTCTCCAACCTATTGCAGTAATCTGACACGTGGAGTGTACTGCACGTGTCAGCTTACTGCAACAGGTTATAGTATACTAAACTGGCTGCGTCATCGCTAGCCATCATTCAATTGGCCTGAAACTTTTAGCAAATGTTTATCTAGTTATGATACAGATACGGAGTTAGCACAAAATCTCCAGATTAGAGTTACAGGTTTCCCAGGTAAAAGGTAGTTTTCTTCGTTCAAAATCACTTTAATTACAACAGTCTATACATATTCGGACTCAGTGTAAAAACTACGTCGAATGATATGTCATTTGTATGTTTTAATGCGCAAAAAATTGTTCGATTTAATGAAATGACAGATTTGCAGAATTCCCGTAATCATTTTTGACTGGGCACGTGAACATGTTCCATAAAAGTGATTCGAAAGCCTCTAGATACTATTACTTATAGGTTTTCGTTTGTACTCTTTCAAAGGGTGTGATTTACAAGTTCAAAAATATTTTTATCAGGGTTTTCCAAAGATCCGGTCCCTAGAAAATCCGACTAAAGGTGTTTTTGAACTTTGTGAATCACGCTATTGGAAAGAGTACACACGAGAGAGGCTTTCTCTAGAGACTTTCGAATCACTTTTATGGCACATGTCCACTTGTCTAGTCAAAATTGTTCACTGTGGGATAAACCAAATGGCATGACTATGAACTCGATTAATCCATCGGTAGTGACGAGGGCAGTCTTTTTCTTCTCACGTTCAGTAATTGGAACCTGCCAGTAACCTTGCTTTAAAGCGACTCCTATTCATCTATGCTCTGATTTATAATCTTTTTATTAAAAAAGGATTAGGCTTAGCGTGTGTTTGCTGTTATTATATAGTATTACTATACATAGAAATAATGATTAACAGTGTAGTTTTTCCTCATAAATATTGTCATTGATATTTTGCTGCTTGCATCACAATAATCTGTTCTGTTAAGATTATTTAAGTTTGTGATTATTGTTGTGTATTGTTCCTGGGGAAATTATCTGTCTGTGAGCAATCAAACTTTGCTATGTTCTCGTGTACAGATATTCTTTTGCGACGACAACAATAGTTTGACATCAACAAAGAACCACAATCTAAAATGTAGATAGACTGCTTTGTTCATAGCCTAAAAATGATGATGATTTTTGTGGTGCATTATATATTCATAAATTTTTATAATAAACGAGCAAGATGAGTAACAATGATTACAAACATAAAAACAACAGAACTAGATAAAAGTCTGTCTGTATTATCACATGGAATGTTGTTCATTGTTATTTGCGATGTTGGTATCAAGTTTTGGCTAGAATTGTTTATAATACATTGAACAGGATTTATATCCTGATATTTTGGTATGTGGTACGATTGAGTTTGAAAATGACCAGCAAGACCACTGAACTGGAGCAATTCAGCTTCGTTGAAAAATGTTTGCCATTCATTCGCTAAATCGTTTGTCCATTTTATATTTTGTAAAGTTGGTCGCAAGTTTGCATCCAAATTGGTATTATTTAAACTACAATTGAAGAAAACAACAGCATAAACAAATCTAATCAATGAAAAGCATATTAACGTACGTTGTATTGAATCTTGTTAACCATGAATTAGGATGTATCAGACTCATACAACTGTATATGTCGTTCATTCTTGGATAATATGTGAACATATGTAAACACATTTCGTCTCTTGTACGCTCACCACCCTAAAACACAACAGAAAAAAAATCGGAATAAAGAAAATCTTTCGTATATTTGATTAATTTTTTTTACCAATGTAATAACATTTTTATTTTTTGTTGCATAAGTACATCGAGTTGCAAATTCATCTCCCTGAAAAGAAAAAGAAAATCGTATTTTCAAAAATACCTTTTACTCTATAATATGAAAATTAAAATATATTGGATATAATTGTATACGTTTTGGAAGACGATTTTCAAATTGATAATTAAAATCAAAAGCATCAGCATTAAATAAATATGATGCTACACTTTGGTTACGAATTAATTTTGTCGAAACACTTTTACCTTTTTAAGAATAATACATTTAGATAGATACTAAATATACTTTTTTTTCTTCTGTTGACTCTCTTTTTTACCTTGTAAATGTGTGTGTGGAAATGATGAAACAACAGTAATACCGTTTTTTGGAAAATTCTAAAAAAAAGAAAATTGTTTTTCGATCTCTAAACATTTGATATAAAAAAAGAACTTTTACTTTTGTTGCATTTGCATGACAATAAGTATTTATTTCAAATCGATCGGTCGATGGCGGTATGGCAATACCGAAAGCACTTGAAGCACTACCAAATGATAGATAGCCCAAATCATGTTCTCTTAATTTTGAAGTTAAGTAAAATCTTAAACCGGAACTATCACGACAATCTGCAATAAACTATTAGTGTGGACTAACGTTTAAAAGACAAATTTTGTCAAAAAAAAGTCGCAATTTTTGAACATAAAAATGATACAATAATTCGCATTGTACGACTGTTTACGAATTCGTAGTTTATTGCGAACTGACAAAAAGGATCAAACGGGAACCAAAAAGGTACTTCTTTTGTTGCTTTTGCGAATTCGTAGGCAAGAAACCGGGTACTCACGAATTCGTAAATCGAATTGGTGAACTATCGACGAATTCGTGAAATGAACGTTTTGGTCCCCAGGAATTCGTATACAAATTACGGAATTGGGAAAAATACGATAAAATGCGAGTTTACGAACTCCCCAGGCAGACATTTTTTTAGACCAAACGCACTACTAAACGCGTTTTTTTGTACTAAAAACGAGTCTGAACGCGTTTTCTTACAATTGAAACGCGTTTGGACGCGTTAATTGGTGATAAATGCGTTTAAATACGTTAGAATCAAACGCGTTTGGTCGCGTCAGAAACTGACGCACCAAAACGCTGTGAAAATAAACGCATTTTGCCGCGTTCAAATG